CGTGCAGAAGCTTATTTAATCGTAAAATAAGGCGCTAATTGTTCGCTAACTCTCGCCCGAAGCAGGGACTTGTAGCACGAATTGGTGATTTTTTGTGATTTTTTGAAGCAGCAGGGGAGGCACGTTTAGAGCGAAATTCATGCATTGGCCGTGTGGGAAAGCGCGACTTTGAGTATTAATTAGGCGCGTGCAGAAGCTTATTTAATCGTAAAATAAGGCGCTAATTGTTCGCTAACTCTCGCCCGAAGCAGGGACTTGTAGCACGAATTGGTGATTTTTTGTGATTTTTTGAAGGAGCAGGGGAGGCACGTTTAGAGCGAAATTCATGCATTGGCCGTGTGGGAAAGCGCGACTTTGAGTATTAATTAGGCGCGTACAGAAGCTTATTTAATCGTAAAATAAGGCGCTAATTGTTCGCTAACTCTCGCCCGAAGCAGGGACTTGTAGCACGAATTGGTGATTTTTTGTGATTTTTTGAAGCAGCAGGGGAGGCACGTTTAGAGCGAAATTCATGCATTGGCCGTGTGGGAAAGCGCGACTTTGAGTATTAATTAGGCGCGTGCAGAAGCTTATTTAATCGTAAAATAAGGCGCTAATTGTTCGCTAACTCTCGCCCGAAGCAGGGACTTGTAGCACGAATTGGTGATTTTTTGTGATTTTTTGAAGCAGCAGGGGAGGCACGTTTAGAGCGAAATTCATGCATTGGCCGTGTGGGAAAGCGCGACTTTGAGTATTAATTAGGCGCGTGCAGAAGCTTATTTAATCGTAAAATAAGGCCCTAATTGTTCGCTAACTCTCGCCCGAAGCAGGGACTTGTAGCACGAATTGGTGATTTTTTGTGATTTTTTGAAGCAGCAGGGGAGGCACGTTTAGAGCGAAATTCATGCATTGGCCGTGTGGGAAAGCGCGACTTTGAGTATTAATTAGGCGCGTGCAGAAGCTTATTTAATCGTAAAATAAGGCGCTAATTGTTCGCTAACTCTCGCCCGAAGCAGGGACTTGTAGCACGAATTGGTGATTTTTTGTGATTTTTTGAAGGAGCAGGGGAGGCACGTTTAGAGCGAAATTCATGCATTGGCCGTGTGGGAAAGCGCGACTTTGAGTATTAATTAGGCGCGTGCAGAAGCTTATTTAATCGTAAAATAAGGCGCTAATTGTTCGCTAACTCTCGCCCGAAGCAGGGACTTGTAGCACGAATTGGTGATTTTTTGTGATTTTTTGAAGCAGCAGGGGAGGCACGTTTAGAGCGAAATTCATGCATTGGCCGTGTGGGAAAGCGCGACTTTGAGTATTAATTAGGCGCGTACAGAAGCTTATTTAATCGTAAAATAAGGCGCTAATTGTTCGCTAACTCTCGCCCGAAGCAGGGACTTGTAGCACGAATTGGTGATTTTTTGAAGCAGCAGGGGAGGCACGTTTAGAGCGAAATTCATGCATTGGCCGTGTGGGAAAGCGCGACTTTGAGTATTAATTAGGCGCGTGCAGAAGCTTATTTAATCGTAAAATAAGGCGCTAATTGTTCGCTAACTCTCGCCCGAAGCAGGGACTTGTAGCACGAATTGGTGATTTTTTGTGATTTTTTGAAGCAGCAGGGGAGGCACGTTTAGAGCGAAATTCATGCATTGGCCGTGTGGGAAAGCGCGACTTTGCGTATTAATTAGGCGCGTGCAGAAGCTTATTTAATCGTAAAATAAGGCGCTAATTGTTCGCTAACTCTCGCCCGAAGCAGGGACTTGTAGCACGAATTGGTGATTTTTTGTGATTTTTTGAAGCAGCAGGGGAGGCACGTTTAGAGCGAAATTCATGCATTGGCCGTGTGGGAAAGCGCGACTTTGAGTATTAATTAGGCGCGTGCAGAAGCTTATTTAATCGTAAAATAAGGCGCTAATTGTTCGCTAACTCTCGCCCGAAGCAGGGACTTGTAGCACGAATTGGTGATTTTTTGTGATTTTTTGAAGGAGCAGGGGAGGCACGTTTAGAGCGAAATTCATGCATTGGCCGTGTGGGAAAGCGCGACTTTGAGTATTAATTAGGCGCGTACAGAAGCTTATTTAATCGTAAAATAAGGCGCTAATTGTTCGCTAACTCTCGCCCGAAGCAGGGACTTGTAGCACGAATTGGTGATTTTTTGTGATTTTTTGAAGCAGCAGGGGAGGCACGTTTAGAGCGAAATTCATGCATTGGCCGTGTGGGAAAGCGCGACTTTGAGTATTAATTAGGCGCGTGCAGAAGCTTATTTAATCGTAAAATAAGGCGCTAATTGTTCGCTAACTCTCGCCCGAAGCAGGGACTTGTAGCACGAATTGGTGATTTTTTGTGATTTTTTGAAGCAGCAGGGGAGGCACGTTTAGAGCGAAATTCATGCATTGGCCGTGTGGGAAAGCGCGACTTTGAGTATTAATTAGGCGCGTGCAGAAGCTTATTTAATCGTAAAATAAGGCGCTAATTGTTCGCTAACTCTCGCCCGAAGCAGGGACTTGTAGCACGAATTGGTGATTTTTTGTGATTTTTTGAAGCAGCAGGGGAGGCACGTTTAGAGCGAAATTCATGCATTGGCCGTGTGGGAAAGCGCGACTTTGAGTATTAATTAGGCGCGTGCAGAAGCTTATTTAATCGTAAAATAAGGCGCTAATTGTTCGCTAACTCTCGCCCGAAGCAGGGACTTGTAGCACGAATTGGTGATTTTTTGTGATTTTTTGAAGGAGCAGGGGAGGCACGTTTAGAGCGAAATTCATGCATTGGCCGTGTGGGAAAGCGCGACTTTGAGTATTAATTAGGCGCGTGCAGAAGCTTATTTAATCGTAAAATAAGGCGCTAATTGTTCGCTAACTCTCGCCCGAAGCAGGGACTTGTAGCACGAATTGGTGATTTTTTGTGATTTTTTGAAGCAGCAGGGGAGGCACGTTTAGAGCGAAATTCATGCATTGGCCGTGTGGGAAAGCGCGACTTTGAGTATTAATTAGGCGCGTACAGAAGCTTATTTAATCGTAAAATAAGGCGCTAATTGTTCGCTAACTCTCGCCCGAAGCAGGGACTTGTAGCACGAATTGGTGATTTTTTGAAGCAGCAGGGGAGGCACGTTTAGAGCGAAATTCATGCATTGGCCGTGTGGGAAAGCGCGACTTTGAGTATTAATTAGGCGCGTGCAGAAGCTTATTTAATCGTAAAATAAGGCGCTAATTGTTCGCTAACTCTCGCCCGAAGCAGGGACTTGTAGCACGAATTGGTGATTTTTTGTGATTTTTTGAAGGAGCAGGGGAGGCACGTTTAGAGCGAAATTCATGCATTGGCCGTGTGGGAAAGCGCGACTTTGAGTATTAATTAGGCGCGTGCAGAAGCTTATTTAATCGTAAAATAAGGCGCTAATTGTTCGCTAACTCTCGCCCGAAGCAGGGACTTGTAGCACGAATTGGTGATTTTTTGTGATTTTTTGAAGCAGCAGGGGAGGCACGTTTAGAGCGAAATTCATGCATTGGCCGTGTGGGAAAGCGCGACTTTGAGTATTAATTAGGCGCGTACAGAAGCTTATTTAATCGTAAAATAAGGCGCTAATTGTTCGCTAACTCTCGCCCGAAGCAGGGACTTGTAGCACGAATTGGTGATTTTTTGAAGCAGCAGGGGAGGCACGTTTAGAGCGAAATTCATGCATTGGCCGTGTGGGAAAGCGCGACTTTGAGTATTAATTAGGCGCGTGCAGAAGCTTATTTAATCGTAAAATAAGGCGCTAATTGTTCGCTAACTCTCGCCCGAAGCAGGGACTTGTAGCACGAATTGGTGATTTTTTGTGATTTTTTGAAGCAGCAGGGGAGGCACGTTTAGAGCGAAATTCATGCATTGGCCGTGTGGGAAAGCGCGACTTTGCGTATTAATTAGGCGCGTGCAGAAGCTTATTTAATCGTAAAATAAGGCGCTAATTGTTCGCTAACTCTCGCCCGAAGCAGGGACTTGTAGCACGAATTGGTGATTTTTTGTGATTTTTTGAAGCAGCAGGGGAGGCACGTTTAGAGCGAAATTCATGCATTGGCCGTGTGGGAAAGCGCGACTTTGAGTATTAATTAGGCGCGTGCAGAAGCTTATTTAATCGTAAAATAAGGCGCTAATTGTTCGCTAACTCTCGCCCGAAGCAGGGACTTGTAGCACGAATTGGTGATTTTTTGTGATTTTTTGAAGGAGCAGGGGAGGCACGTTTAGAGCGAAATTCATGCATTGGCCGTGTGGGAAAGCGCGACTTTGAGTATTAATTAGGCGCGTACAGAAGCTTATTTAATCGTAAAATAAGGCGCTAATTGTTCGCTAACTCTCGCCCGAAGCAGGGACTTGTAGCACGAATTGGTGATTTTTTGTGATTTTTTGAAGCAGCAGGGGAGGCACGTTTAGAGCGAAATTCATGCATTGGCCGTGTGGGAAAGCGCGACTTTGAGTATTAATTAGGCGCGTGCAGAAGCTTATTTAATCGTAAAATAAGGCGCTAATTGTTCGCTAACTCTCGCCCGAAGCAGGGACTTGTAGCACGAATTGGTGATTTTTTGTGATTTTTTGAAGCAGCAGGGGAGGCACGTTTAGAGCGAAATTCATGCATTGGCCGTGTGGGAAAGCGCGACTTTGAGTATTAATTAGGCGCGTGCAGAAGCTTATTTAATCGCAAACTAAGGCTCTTAATGTTCGCTACTTCTCGTCCGAGGCACGCACTTCTAGCACGAATTGGTGATTTTTTAGGATTTTTTGAAGGAACGTTGTCTAACCTGGAAGGCAGATAGTAAACAAACGGGCGCGACGGGATTTCTAGATCGAATTAAACGCACATAGCAGTTATTCATTCGTTGTTCCACGCAAGAAATGCGTGTACATGACGCTGGGAATAAGAGAAATTTTAGAAGCGAATACTTTTTTTTTTAATCAATATTTGTTACGCGAAGAGATTTCGAAGCGCGGCCGAGCGCTTTATAGTCCGGACTCCTATTCAAACCACGAGAGAGAGAGATAGAAGCATTCTCAAATACCTTTCCTTGCATGGTGTCTAGCGGTCCAGATGTTATCCAAAGTCCAGAGTAATCCAAAGTTCACCAGGAAAGTGCACACACACACACACGTTCACGGAAGCGTCCACGTTGAGACGGGGCACGGCCGTTTTGAAATCACCCGAGACTGGGGTAGAAGCATCAAATCGTAGAAGGGACAGAAAATAGACATTTTCTGTCCCTTCTACTATTTCAAGCTTCTTCTCTACCCCAGTCTCGGGCTATTTCAACGTTGTTAACATTCACCAGCTCGCCCGCGCACCCTCTTCTCTTGACTCGCAACGAAGCGCACACACAGACGTGGATTTGGGCGGCCGTTTGTGAAGTTGGGCGACTGAGGTAGGGACTAGCGGCAGAGAGAGGATTTCTGGAATAGAAAAGAAAAGTGTTGTCATTTCAACAAAGGGTACAATAGATATTTTTGTTTTTAGATTCGGTCGGTTTTAATTAAAGAGTTGTAATTCTAGGCTCTAGTTGAAAAAGGTCGACACAGAACGTAATAGCACCCTGGGTACCGTTACGACGTGCGTCGACATTTTTGCGCGGGTTTTGACCGTTAGGGGTTTGGAGAAGGTATCATCATCATGATCCAGGGTTTCGGTTTGGGTTCTGTGTGTTTTCTCACTCCAGGTCACGTGATGTTTTTGTCGGAGCAAGGATGAGTCACCCTCGCCTCAACGGCGCCTGGCTGTTGCTGTGCGTGTTCTGTCTGGGCCCGGGCTCACTTTCAGAAGGAGCCGAGAACGGAAGAAGGTCGGATTACCGTAACTCGAGAAGGTATTTGCTCATTTCCTTGTTCTTTGCCCAAAGTCGTTGTTTGTGTGAGCGCGTGCGTTTTGCGAGGAGATTATGTTGTGCTCGGCGGTTGGTAGATGGAAATGTTGTTCTCGGAGAGATTCTGCACGCTTTTTCGAGTGTCGGCAAAGAAGGCTTTTAATGGGATCTACTATATTGATATAGGCGCACATAGGCGGAGCAGCTGGTCGTTTTTTTGAAGGCTCTTTACCAGAGCGCGAGCAAGAATTACCTATGCGTGTTTGATGCAAGTTCTTTTTTTGATAGGTCCATGCTCGGCAAAGATATAAAGTGTATTTTGAAGCGCGTATTCCATCGCGAAATGATGGAATACCAGTGATGTGATAATTGCGCCAAACTGCACCAAGGGGCTAACCTTGCTACATCCTGCTACATTTCACCGAAATATGGCTAATCTGCGCCAAAGAAGCAATTTTGGTCGCCTTTCAATAACGAAACTAAACTGAGAACCGTAATTGTGTAAGCTAGGTCGCACAAGACGCCACCCGACACAAAGTACCCTGTATCAATCGTCTATTTGGTCTTGCATGATTTTTCCCGACGTCTCGCGTTTCGTGTACTCGTCGTCTCAAAAATCTCGTCTCTAGTGTATCGGATGCCAAACATGCCGTCATGCTGTGAAACAAAACCACGTTTTTGCGCGGCGGGAGTTACTTTTTGAGCTTCGTGCGACGTCGTGTGTTGCCGTCCCCACGTCGCTGCAGATATTTCTAAACTGAAACGCGTCGACATTCCTGCTCTTGTTTAAATCATACGCTGCTATAAAAATCCCTCTCTAACTCAATGACTGCTTGGCCGTGAGGGAAAGCGCGCCCTTGAGTATTAATTAGGCGCGTACAGAAGCTTATTTAATCGCAAACTAAGGCGCTAATTGTTCCCTACCTCTCGTCCGAAGCAGGGACTTGTAGCACGAATTGGTGATTTTTTGTGATTTTTTGAAGGAGCAGGGGAGGCACGTTTAGAGCGAAATTCATGCATTGGCCGTGTGGGAAAGCGCGACTTTGAGTATTAATTAGGCGCGTACAGAAGCTTATTTAATCGTAAAATAAGGCGCTAATTGTTCGCTAACTCTCGCCCGAAGCAGGGACTTGTAGCACGAATTGGTGATTTTTTGTGATTTTTTGAAGCAGCAGGGGAGGCACGTTTAGAGCGAAATTCATGCATTGGCCGTGTGGGAAAGCGCGACTTTGAGTATTAATTAGGCGCGTACAGAAGCTTATTTAATCGCAAACTAAGGCGCTAATTGTTCCCTACCTCTCGCCCGAAGCAGGGACTTGTAGCACGAAATGGTGATTTTTTGTGATTTTTTGAAGGAGCAGGGGAGGCACGTTTAGAGCGAAATTCATGCATTGGCCGTGTGGGAAAGCGCGACTTTGAGTATTAATTAGGCGCGTGCAGAAGCTTATTTAATCGTAAAATAAGGCGCTAATTGTTCGCTAACTCTCGCCCGAAGCAGGGACTTGTAGCACGAATTGGTGATTTTTTGTGATTTTTTGAAGCAGCAGGGGAGGCACGTTTAGAGCGAAATTCATGCATTGGCCGTGTGGGAAAGCGCGACTTTGAGTATTAATTAGGCGCGTGCAGAAGCTTATTTAATCGTAAAATAAGGCGCTAATTGTTCGCTAACTCTCGCCCGAAGCAGGGACTTGTAGCACGAATTGGTGATTTTTTGAAGCAGCAGGGGAGGCACGTTTAGAGCGAAATTCATGCATTGGCCGTGTGGGAAAGCGCGACTTTGAGTATTAATTAGGCGCGTGCAGAAGCTTATTTAATCGTAAAATAAGGCGCTAATTGTTCGCTAACTCTCGCCCGAAGCAGGGACTTGTAGCACGAATTGGTGATTTTTTGTGATTTTTTGAAGGAGCAGGGGAGGCACGTTTAGAGCGAAATTCATGCATTGCCCGTGTGGGAAAGCGCGACTTTGAGTATTAATTAGGCGCGTGCAGAAGCTTATTTAATCGTAAAATAAGGCGCTAATTGTTCGCTAACTCTCGCCCGAAGCAGGGACTTGTAGCACGAATTGGTGATTTTTTGTGATTTTTTGAAGCAGCAGGGGAGGCACGTTTAGAGCGAAATTCATGCATTGGCCGTGTGGGAAAGCGCGACTTTGAGTATTAATTAGGCGCGTACAGAAGCTTATTTAATCGTAAAATAAGGCGCTAATTGTTCGCTAACTCTCGCCCGAAGCAGGGACTTGTAGCACGAATTGGTGATTTTTTGTGATTTTTTGAAGCAGCAGGGGAGGCACGTTTAGAGCGAAATTCATGCATTGGCCGTGTGGGAAAGCGCGACTTTGAGTATTAATTATGCGCGTGCAGAAGCTTATTTAATCGTAAAATAAGGCGCTAATTGTTCGCTAACTCTCGCCCGAAGCAGGGACTTGTAGCACGAATTGGTGATTTTTTGTGATTTTTTGAAGCAGCAGGGGAGGCACGTTTAGAGCGAAATTCATGCATTGGCCGTGTGGGAAAGCGCGACTTTGAGTATTAATTAGGCGCGTGCAGAAGCTTATTTAATCGTAAAATAAGGCGCTAATTGTTCGCTAACTCTCGCCCGAAGCAGGGACTTGTAGCGCAAATTGGTGATTTTTTGTGATTTTTTGAAGGAGCAGGGGAGGCACGTTTAGAGCGAAATTCATGCATTGGCCGTGTGGGAAAGCGCGACTTTGAGTATTAATTAGGCGCGTACAGAAGCTTATTTAATCGTAAAATAAGGCGCTAATTGTTCGCTAACTCTCGCCCGAAGCAGGGACTTGTAGCACGAATTGGTGATTTTTTGTGATTTTTTGAAGCAGCAGGGGAGGCACGTTTAGAGCGAAATTCATGCATTGGCCGTGTGGGAAAGCGCGACTTTGAGTATTAATTAGGCGCGTGCAGAAGCTTATTTAATCGTAAAATAAGGCGCTAATTGTTCGCTAACTCTCGCCCGAAGCAGGGACTTGTAGCACGAATTGGTGATTTTTTGTGATTTTTTGAAGCAGCAGGGGAGGCACGTTTAGAGCGAAATTCATGCATTGGCCGTGTGGGAAAGCGCGACTTTGAGTATTAATTAGGCGCGTGCAGAAGCTTATTTAATTGTAAAATAAGGCGCTAATTGTTCGCTAACTCTCGCCCGAAGCAGGGACTTGTAGCACGAATTGGTGATTTTTTGTGATTTTTTGAAGGAGCAGGGGAGGCACGTTTAGAGCGAAATTCATGCATTGGCCGTGTGGGAAAGCGCGACTTTGAGTATTAATTAGGCGCGTGCAGAAGCTTATTTAATCGTAAAATAAGGCGCTAATTGTTCGCTAACTCTCGCCCGAAGCAGGGACTTGTAGCACGAATTGGTGATTTTTTGTGATTTTTTGAAGGAGCAGGGGAGGCACGTTTAGAGCGAAATTCATGCATTGGCCGTGTGGGAAAGCGCGACTTTGAGTATTAATTAGGCGCGTGCAGAAGCTTATTTAATCGCAAACTAAGGCTCTTAATGTTCGCTACCTCTCGTCCGAGGCACGCACTTCTAGCACGAATTGGTGATTTTTTAGGATTTTTTGAAGGAACGTTGTCTAACCTGGAAGGCAGATAGTAAACAAACGGGCGCGACGGGATTTCTAGATCGAATTAAACGCACATAGCAGTTATTCATTCGTTGTTCCACGCAAGAAATGCGTGTACATGACGCTGGGAATAAGAGAAATTTTAGAAGCGAATACTTTTTTTTTTAATCAATATTTGTTACGCGAAGAAGAGATTTCGAAGCGCGGCCGAGCGCTTTATAGTCCGGACTCCTATTCAAACCACGAGAGAGAGAGATAGAAGCATTCTCAAATACCTTTCCTTGCATGGTGTCTAGCGGTCCAGATGTTATCCAAAGTCCAGAGTAATCCAAAGTTCACCAGGAAAGTGCACACACACACACACGTTCACGGAAGCGTCCACGTTGAGACGGGGCACGGCCGTTTTGAAATCACCCGAGACTGGGGTAGAAGCATCAAATCGTAGAAGGGACAGAAAATAGACATTTTCTGTCCCTTCTACTATTTCAAGCTTCTTCTCTACCCCAGTCTCGGGCTATTTCAACGTTGTTAACATTCACCAGCTCGCCCGCGCACCCTCTTCTCTTGACTCGCAACGAAGCGCACACACAGACGTGGATTTGGGCGGCCGTTTGTGAAGTTGGGCGACTGAGGTAGGGACTAGCGGCAGAGAGAGGATTTCTGGAATAGAAAAGAAAAGTGTTGTCATTTCAACAAAGGGTACAATAGATATTTTTGTTTTTAGATTCGGTCGGTTTTAATTAAAGAGTTGTAATTCTAGGCTCTAGTTGAAAAAGGTCGACACAGAACGTAATAGCACCCTGGGTACCGTTACGACGTGCGTCGACATTTTTGCGCGGGTTTTGACCGTTAGGGGTTTGGAGAAGGTATCATCATCATGATCCAGGGTTTCGGTTTGGGTTCTGTGTGTTTTCTCACTCCAGGTCACGTGATGTTTTTGTCGGAGCAAGGATGAGTCACCCTCGCCTCAACGGCGCCTGGCTGTTGCTGTGCGTGTTCTGTCTGGGCCCGGGCTCACTTTCAGAAGGAGCCGAGAACGGAAGAAGGTCGGATTACCGTAACTCGAGAAGGTATTTGCTCATTTCCTTGTTCTTTGCCCAAAGTCGTTGTTTGTGTGAGCGCGTGCGTTTTGCGAGGAGATTATGTTGTGATCGGCGGTTGGTAGATGGAAATGTTGTTCTCGGAGAGATTCTGCACGCTTTTTCGAGTGTCGGCAAAGAAGGCTTTTAATGGGATCTACTATATTGATATAGGCGCACATAGGCGGAGCGGCTGGTCGTTTTTTTGAAGGCTCTTTACCAGAGCGCGAGCAAGAATTACCTATGCGTGTTTGATGCAAGTTCTTTTTTTGATAGGTCCATGCTCGGCAAAGATATAAAGTGTATTTTGAAGCGCGTATTCCATCGCGAAATGATGGAATACCAGTGATGTGATAATTGCGCCAAACTGCACCAAGGGGCTAACCTTGCTACATCCTGCTACATTTCACCGAAATATGGCTAATCTGCGCCAAAGAAGCAATTTTGGTCGCCTTTCAATAACGAAACTAAACTGAGAACCGTAATTGTGTAAGCTAGGTCGCACAAGACGCCACCCGACACAAAGTACCCTGTATCAATCGTCTATTTGGTCTTGCATGATTTTTCCCGACGTCTCGCGTTTCGTGTACTCGTCGTCTCAAAAATCTCGTCTCTAGTGTATCGGATGCCAAACATGCCGTCATGCTGTGAAACAAAACCACGTTTTTGCGCGGCGGGAGTTACTTTTTGAGCTTCGTGCGACGTCGTGTGTTGCCGTCCCCACGTCGCTGCAGATATTTCTAAACTGAAACGCGTCGACATTCTTGTTTAAATCATACGCTGCTATAAAAATCCCTCTCTAACTCAATGACTGCTTGGCCAAGTTTTGATTACTTAGGTTTTCCTGGTGGGCTTTCTTTCGAGGGGGACCCCGGTACGTGAAAAATGTGCCGCGAAAGAAAGTTGGTGAAGAGAAGTGAGCTAAAGCAAAGAAGGCAATGTCTGAACCCGCACAGCGTGCATGGGCGACCGTTGGAGCCGACTTCTTGCACGAATTCTTTTGTTCTTTTCACGCGAAACACGGAATCGAGTTTTTTTCCCCTCATTCCTGCTTGTAGGTTTCACTGACGATGTTTCCCGGATGGGAGACGAAACGTTTGATTAAATTGTTAATCTTGTTGAGTAAAGTCGGAGCAGTTTTTTTTTTATCAAACACGGAATTGGCGGCGGCGCGGAGCTAGGAAGCCGGCCTCTACGAACTCAAACGTTTCATCACTCTCTGACGCACGGAAGAAAAGAAAAAAAGATATGTGTATGGCGTAAGAACGTTCGGTGCATCTTTAATGTAGGGCGCTAAAGATTGTCTTTTTGTGCAGCGCAAGAGCGAGTTGCACGGCTGGCCCTCCGTTTCAAGTGACCTCCTTCAGCTGCGGATGACCTGTGCTTAATCAAGACCGCTTGAATGGCAACTGAGAACTTGCTCCAAGCAAAAAGTGTTTTTATGAAATCGTGTTAGCTCGTGCGAATTCACTGAATAGGAACAAGTGTGTTTTCATCGAGACAGCTCGTCCGGAAACTTGCATTGTCGGCCTAATAAAGTTTGACGTCAAGCCTAATAAAACGTGAGGTTAAAACGGAGAAATCTGTTGTTTTGTATTTTGCTTGTGAGGACGAAGCCCCTGCTGTGCACACCTGCGGAAACGAAGTAAGTACCTTATCAGTTTGTTCAGAGATTTGATTTTTTCCCGTGGTAATCGTGAAAAAAAAAAAGAGCGAGGACATAAATTCTTCTTTCTTATGTTTGAGCTTATTGCAAGACGCTATGAGCGGCGTTCTATTATATCTATACATAGCCTTTGAACTTGTGTTTTTTCTTCTTTCTTTTTGTGATCTCCAGTGTACCAGATTTGTCGGTTTACTGTTATTTTTTTTGTTCCTTCTCGTCGCACCCTGCTTGGGGATTGGAAATGGCCTGCAGTGTAAATGAATAGAAACCAAATATAAAAAAAGAATTTAAATACTTCCCGACGCCATAGGGTCTTGATCTGCTTACAAATGCATTTAAATACTCTTTTCCCAGAACCATAACAGAATGAAACAGCCTACCTCATCGCAGATTTATATCTGACAATGTTTTGTAGTCGATCGAGCGTTTGTTTCATGTGCAACTATTTGCATGGTGTTTTAATTTTCCTCTTGCCCACTACTGCCACTCCTCCCAACTTTGTTGTGAGCTATTACATTACAATTTTCCCCTGTTCCGCTCTCCCATTTTACGGATTACCTGGTGTTGCGTTTTTAATATAATATAACAATCTGAGGTTAAACGGACAAAGAGGCCCCTGCTGTGCACACCTGCGGAAACAAAGTAAGTACCTTATCAGTATTATTCAGAAATTTGACTTTTTCCTGTGGTAATCGTGAAAAAAAAAAAGAAATGTGTTTTTTTATGTGTGTGCTCGCCCAAAAGCGAGCACATGCATTCTTTTAACGTTCTCTGTTGCGCTTATTGCAAGACGCTGTCAGCGGCGTTGTATTATCTATACAGCCTTTGAACTTGCGTTTTCTCGTCTTTTTTTGTATCTCTGTACTTTGTATTCAAGTATATCAATCCACAAGTGCTAGCTGGGTCATTTATTTTAACCAGGCGAGTGGGATGTTCCGAGGAACATTCTAGGCGCGTCTCATCGATGTAGCTAATCTAATAAGAAAGTTACGAATAAAAAGTTTACGTGTAAGGCTTCATTCTGTGGTGTTGTGATTTGGCATATGCTCGTATAAAGAAAACTACGATAGTTAGAAGGTTCTAATTCGCAGCGAATGATCGCGCTCTGAATGTAGACGCACTGTTAAATTTTCATCGCTCCAGCTCGTCTAGAACTCGTTATACTCGCGAAAACAGGTTTTTGGGAATCTGCTTGGAGATTAAAAACCCCGACCAAGTTCAATCGTTCACCCGTGAATATTCAAGACCGCTGGAGTGCATTCATCGATTGTGGTCGTGAAAACAACATCATATGAAAGTGTGTGTGCAGTGAAACCGTGTCAGCTCATCTCAAGTTTCGCGAAATAAACGACGTTTGAAAGTTTTCGGATCGAAGCCAGCCATTCGCATTCCTCACTTTAGGCACCGATCCTTTCTTCGATCTCGCTTCATTAATACTCGTCGTATCTCGTCACCGCTAGCACCGATGTGTTCCTTGGTCTTTCTAGACTCTACGGACACCACTTTGAACGTGTGTAATAAAAGGTTTCGCGATGCTACGACGCTCTTGCCGTGGGCATGGTCATGGCGGCCAATTGTACTTTCCGAACATGTGTTCGGACCTCCGAGACTGAATTTTCGTTTCCGAGCCGCGATGTTGGTGTCAAACGTGAGCACGCGTTCCGTAGAAGACCCGACGACTGTAGTTTGCCTCGGATCGAGTCGATAGTTTAATCTACGAGCACTGATGCGACTTCCCGCACGAAAGCAGTCATTTTCAGGTTCGATATTGCTCACCGCTTCACCATTTGCTACCACAATTTGCTTTTTTGTTCTGAAGCGCTCCCTCGGGTAAAAGGAACGTTCGCTATGCGCGCGAGATTATTTTAATTCATTCATCTCGTGCGGCGCGCGCTCGGCGGAGCCGCTAGTCGTTTGAAGGCTCACCAGAGCGCGAGCAAGACTTCAAAGAGCTGCCGCTCGCTCGTAATTAGAAAACCATTATAGGTACGTACAACTATCAACTTGTTGGGAAGGGACAAATACACATATGTGCTGCAAGAGGGCCTCCACACAACCCTACAGAGCTTTTTGCAGACATGCCCCTACAGTACAACTGGCCCGACACTTTCTATTTTGTCCCCTTCTGCACTTTCTGGCGCAAGATGAGCTAAAGTGAAGCACGAGTAACCTTCTAGGTTGCTATCTGTTCAGTTTGAAAAGCTACGTCCCTCTTCCCTCGACGGCCAAAATTTGAACGCAGGCATGGTTACTGCGGAATACAAAAAGTCTGCCTTTTGTCTCCGAGGGACGTTCATTCTGTGTTATGGTCGTCTTTTCCAGAGACGGTGAGGACAAATACACATCTGTGCTGCAAGAGGGCCTCCACACAACCCTACGGAGCTTTTTGTAGACATGCCCCTACAGTACAACTGGCCCCACACTTTCTATTCTGTCCCCTTCTGCACTTTCTGGCGCAAGATGAGCTAAACTGAAGCACGAGTAACCTTCTAGCTTGCTACCTGTTCAGTTTGAACCCTCAAGCTACGTCCCTTTTCCCTTGACGGCCAAAATTTGAACGCAGGCGTTGTTTCTGTCTGAAAGCAAAAGTCTGCCATTTGTCTCCGAGGGACGTCCATTCTGTGTTACGGTGGTCACTTTGCACAGCCAGGATAACGCTTGTCTGCAGTCGTGCTGGGACGTCCTTGCTGCGGCTTGGCCGACACATTTGTTTTCTCGGCTTCCGTACTTTCCCACGTCGGCTTGTTTCAAGTCCAGCTACAGCATTCTTGTCGAATGGTACCTGTGAATTCTGAAGGCTTGATGTCGACCTGTATTCTCTGCACAGCCCCCTACGGGGTTCTGCAGAAAGCCCTGTCTTAGTAAATCACGTAGGTTTTCAATGAAGTGTGTCTCCACATCTTACGGGGGTGGGC